CAGGATCACATAACTGTCTGAGACCAGATTTGAACTCAGGAAGATGAGCCAGCACTCTATCCACTTTGTGCCCTAGCTGCCCACTAATGAGCGAATATGTCAGCAAATATAAACAACCTAAAAAGTCATTTCAAAAGGAAAAATACACAAAGAACTAGGGCAGGTCCTCTTAACCTGGGATCCAAGAACTTGGTTTGTTTGTGTTATATATTTTGATAATTATATATTAACATAATTAGTTTCTGTTGTAATTCTTTTAAAAACTTTCTTCTGAGAATGGGTCCATAGGCTTCACCAGACTGCCAAAGGAGTCCATGACACAGAAAAGATAAACAACCCTTCTTTCTAAGTCTTGTTTTTGTTCTAGTTGTTTCCCAAACCTGGAATGTCCTCTCTCCCTGTCTTCACTGGCTGAATTCTTCTTTATCCCTAAAAATCTAGTTCAAATGCCCCCTCTTCCGTGAAGCCTTCCTAGATATGGCTTGTATGTAACAGACCTTCCTCCTCAGATATCAGTCACAGTACTTCTGTCCCTTTCTAGTATGCTTCTCAAATCATAATATATATTACAGTTATGCATTTGTTTCACATACATACATCCACTGGATAGATAAGTTACCTGAGGCTCCTCCCCTCAATACTTTAGCACAGTGCTCCCTGAAACACAGGCATTTAACAGATCTTTGTTAGTTTCATAAACTGCTTTGGCTCTAAAGAGGAAGTCAGGATGCAGGAGATGAATGCCCACAGGCTTGGGAGAAATCAACCCAGAATTACTCTTTTCTACCCACTCAGAGCTGGTACTAGAGCAGAGAGGATGTGCAGGAGTCTGAAGGCAGAAGCCAAGGGGAAGTACTTGGGTGGGGGGAAAGGAGAAGGCTCAGTGACAGAACATTCAGCCATTCAGTCTGGCTCCTGGATTCATGATGCCCATTCTTCTTGAAAGCTGTTTCCCAGAGGCTTCTGCTCTCCAGCTGTCCCCTCCTGGGCTTCTTCACCCTTCCTTTGCTCCCTGGAACTTCCCTCAGCCTTCCCTCCCCATAACTCTTTAGCCTGGGAGGGGCTAGCTTATCAGTTAAAGTCAGACTTTGCCTGTCCTGAGGCAGGAAGGGGATGAGGTGGGATGTGAAAGAAGATAAAAGAAGGGCATGCTAGGAAGATGCTAAGCCAGGTTCATCTCCTTGTGTCTTCATTTTGGGGGAGCAGACAAGATGGTGCTTCAATTAAATGAATGGTTTGGTATGGTTTTGTTTCGTTTTTAAATAGCGTCTAAGATTAAAAATACAAGGTACTGGAAATACTTTTATGATCTGGTGCTGAGTGAAGTGAGCAGAACCAGGAGAACGTTGTACATGGTAACAGCCACGTTTTGTGATGACTAATATTGAAAGACTTAACCTTTCTCAGCAATGCAAGGATCTAAGACATCTCCAAAGACATCTCATGATGGAAAATGCTATCCACATCCAAAGAATGAACTATGGAGTTTGAATGTGGATCGAAGCATACTATTTGCTATTTTTTTTCTTCTGTTGTGTTTTGTTTCCTCTTTCTCGTGGTTCCTCCTATTGGTTCTAATTCTTACTTACAACATCACTAATGTGAAAATATGTTTAATAAGCATGTATATGTATAGCCTATATCAAATTGTGCACCGTCTTGGGGAAGAGGGGCAGAAAAATTTAAAACTCAGAAGCTTATGAAAGTGATTGTTGATAAATCAAAATAAATTAACAAAAAAAAGAAAAATTAAAAAAAAAGAATAGAGTGCTAGATTTGGAGTCAGGAAGACCTCTTTTTGAATCCCACCTTAGACACTTCCTAGCTATGCAACTGAGCAAGTGAGTCTAAGCCTAAGTTTCCCCACCTCTAAAATGAGGGAATCGGTCTCAATGACCTCTAAGGTATCTTAGAGCTTTAAATCTTTAAATACAATCTTATGACAATGGAGTGCTGCAATTAAGAAAGGAAATACTTTGGGGTCCTCTAGACCATTCAGGGGTATATGTCCCAACAATCTGCTTTTTTTTTTTCCTCTAGAAATGTTTTCTGGGGTCCAACCTGAACAGAAATTGGTCTGATTTCTAGAGGAAACCCAGAACAGCTTTGTTAGTTCTAAAGAGCCTCCTCCCTCAAAACCGAAGCTTATCTGGAGAGAATCTTGAGCCAAACCAGAACCCCTGGAAATACCCTTTGAGATTATTAGAACACCAAAAGGGCCCCAAAGCCTGCAAACTTTACTTGAAGGACAAAACTCAGAGCAGAAGTAAATACATTTGGAGCAGAATAGGGACTCCTCTACATCATCTATGACATATGGCTTTGGGTGAGGAGAGTTGTGCAGGCCTCTACACAAAAGCATCAACCCTGCTTCCTAACATTCTACTCTCTAAGAGTCCTCTGGGGAGGTGGGGTGGGTGGGAATGCAAATACCACCAGGAAACCTCAATCCCTTATCAGCTAACGCCAGGTTAATATAAGTTGACTTGATGAGTGAGACCCACAAGATAAGTGCCCAGGAATGAGAAAGAAAGAGATAGTGGAGGTAGAAGGAAGCTAAGGCTGTTTGTGGCTTGCTTCATCATTTTATTTAGGGTTTGCCCTGCCCTAGGGTAGCTAGACTGGAGAGAGAACCCCTTCCCAGGACCCAACCAACCACCCTGGAGTGTTAGAAAACATGTCAGGAGTCATCTCACAGCTAGCTCCACATGTTTGCCAGGCTATAAGGGGATGCAAATCACCGGAGCAAGAAATTTCCTGTATGAGAAGATATTATTGCCTACATAGCCCTACCTGGCTTTGACTATTTGTTAAGATTCCAGAGAAATCTCTCTATATCCCAGGCCTTATAATTGCCTTAATATTGATGACAAACATTCATTGTGGGCTCATTATGCAGCTTTAGTAAGTCACTAAAGTTCCTTTGGTCTACTTAAAGCTCCTGTCTTTGTGACGGCAGATTTTATTCATTCTTTGTTTCAACAATCATTTATCAATGACATAGAGTAGACCTTCACAACTTGGCAGTAGATAGGGGCCAAAATTAAAATAGGCTAAACTTCTTTGGGCTGCAGATAGGTTAGACTAGAGACAGACTGATAATGGTTGGTTGCTGCAGGTCATGTGACAAACAAAAAAGCTTATGCAGTGGCAACCCTACCTTTTTTGCAGGCCACCAGAAATCCTTTGGCACTACAACCGGCCCACTCGATATTGTGCAGGCCTGACTTAGAGTATTTATTAAGGGCTTAATATGAGCCAAGCACAGTGCTGAGAGTTTAAGGATACAAATACAACCAAACAAGATAGTCCTTATCCTCAGGGAGCTTACATTCCAATGAGGGAAGAGACACATAGAGGGGTGCTAAAAAGTGAGATGCCTGGGAGAACAGAGGAATATGGCAGTCAAGGAAAAAAAAGGGCAAGTCCAGAGAAAATCCTGGTTAACAGTGAGGTGAAATATACATTAAGTCCTTCCTAGAGAAGTCAGTAATGAGGAGGGCTTCACCAATGAGAAGATTATTCAGGGTGAAAGTTTCCCACATATGCAAAAATGCAGTAACTGAAATGCAAAACTTCAGGTCTTCTGATTCCAAATCCAATATTCTTTCCAAAGTTGATTCCATCTGGGCCTTGAGATAAACTTGCTTTACTTACCTCACCAGGTGGTTCTGGGGAAACCTCTTCATAAAATGCAAAGTAGTAGATAAACGTGAGCTGTTATTTTTAGGGCCCAGACCTGTGAGGCAGGTAGAACAAGGATAATTATCAACCTTCATTGCACATATTGGCTTGCTTCAGGTCTAATAAGTTTCAACCCAGGCTCTGACTCCAAGATCAGGCCTCTTGTCACTAAACCATGCAAATGAAATAAGGCTAGAACATCTTTTCAAAGTGTTATGTAAACATAAGCTATTATTGTTATTCCTTTTCAAGGAATGTTCCTTCATTAGGAATACTAATTACCTGTTATCACTTTACACAAATTGTTACCTTCTCTGGGCCTATAAAATGAAGGCAGTCTAGAGCACTGGACAAGGTCAAAGACAAGGTCAAATATTGCCTCATACATTACTAGCTGTGTGAGCCTGGGCAAGTCACAACCCCTCTAAGCTTCAACTTTCTCATCTATAAAATAGAGGTAACAGCCCCTGCCTAACATGAGTTCAAATCCTGACACAGCCATTTACTAGCTATACAACCCTAGGTAAGACCCAACTTCTCTGGAACTCTTATTTCCTCATATGTAAAATGGGGATAATAATAGCGCCTACTTCCCAGGGTTATTGTGAGGATCAAACGAGATAATTGTAAATTACTTAGTACAGTACTTGGCATATAGTAAGTACTATATAAATGTTATTATCATTATTATTATCTGTAAAATAGAGAAAATAGCACCTAATTCCCAGGGTTGTTGTGAGAATCAAATACTTGTAAAGCACTTAGCACAGTGCCTGGCACAACTTAAGTGCTATATAAATGTTAGTTATTATCATCATCATTATCATCATTAATGGTTGGACTAGATGAGCTAACTCCAAGATCCCCTCTGACTCCAAAGTTGGGATCCTGATTTCATCAGTGCAGGGAACTCCACAGGAGTAAATTCCCTCCACTAATGCAGATCAGCACACGCTTTGTAACCTAAAGTCTTAGAGAGTTCTCTGGGTCACTGAGAAGTTACCCAGGGTTGCACTGTATGTCAGAGAGGGGACTTGAACCCAAGCCTCCACGGCCAGCTCTGTATCCACTCCCCCAGGCAGGGCTGCATCTCCGTGGAAATATCGCTATCATTGTTCCATAATTACAGCCTTTGAAGGGATCCCCATAGGAAAAAGGCAGCGGGGAAGAGGCAGGCTTGCACCACCAGGGGGCATTCGCGTGAAGCCCGGGGTTCGCGCGGTTTATACGGCGCAGACAAAGGAGGCGGGGCTAAGATCCCCTCCCCCAATACCCCCCCAGGCGCCGCGGCCGCACAGCGAAGGCGCGCGAGGAGCATGTGGAGGACCAGGCTGGGAGCGCTGGCGCTGGCGCAGGCGGCACCGCGGAAGCCCTGCAAAGCTGGGCCACACACCCTGCAACAGCTGGCGCCCAGGCCTCGGAAGGCTGCGCTCTGCAGCCTCCCGGCCCAGGCGGGCCCCCTGGCTCTGGGAGCAGGGGCTGGAGCTGTGTCTTCCTGGGCCCTGGGACAGCTCGTGAGTACGCACAGCCGGGTATACCGCGGCTGCGGCCCTGGCTGCGGGGTCTGGGAACGGGAGGGGCGGAGCCGGAGGAACCGGAGGTGCGGGGGCGGGGCCTGGGAAACGAGAGGGGCAGGATCTGGGAAGCAGGAGGGAGTTACCTGGGGAAAGGAAGGGGCGGGGCCTGAGGAGGGGGAGCGGAGGGGGCCCGAATGAAAGGGGCGGGGCCTGGGATCGAGAGGGTGGAGGCCTGGGGAAAGGGAAGGGCGGGGCCTGGGAGTGGGGAGGGGCCGTGATGTCTGGAGCCGCACATGCGCGTTCTTTAGCTCCAGGCGCCCTGAGGAGGTGGGGGTGGCGGGGCTTGAACCCTGGGTTTGTGATGTCCGAATCTGCTCTCCGACACGTAGTGGCCGGGGTCCACATCTTTCCTAACTCTCCTGTCTTCCTACACCTTTCTCCAGCCATCTCTGTGCCTTTGCGATGCCTGTCCCCCCATTTTTGCAGTGCTCTGTCCTCCCCTCTGCCTCTTGGTGAGGCTTAGGCTGTATTGAGTGGACTTTGTTTTTTTGTGTTTGTTGACTGAATCTTGTGATGTAGGTAATATATATAGCGCTTTCAGGTTTGCAAAAGCGCTTTACAAATATAATAATAATATTTATATTGTGTGTGCCAGGCACTGTTCTAAGCGCTTATGTTATTTGATCCTCACAAGGGGTGGGGGGACAGGGAGAAGTCGGTAGGACGCTATTCTTATCTCTGTTTTACAGATGAGGAAACTGAGACTGACAGGTTAAGTGACTTGCCCAAGGTCACCCTGCTAGTCAGTTCCTGAGGCAGATCTGCCTGACTTCAGATCCCACATACTTATCTACTTTAATGTAAGCTCCTTGAGGTCAGGGGCAGTTTTATTTTTTTCTCTTGCTTCTGCAATGCCTGCCTCATATTGTACCCTTAATAAATTCTGAATTGTTGATTGATTGGGACAGAGCTTCCTCGTTTATACAAAGAGAGGATTAAAACAGATCATCTCTAAAGTCAGTCCCTGTGTAGCTCTAATATTCCATGAGTATAAAATTCTTCTCTGGGTGATTATGAAGTCATTAATTCAGCTTCTCTTTTTCTGGCTGAATTAGTCACAGTTCTGTAATCATTTCCTCCTAAGTCTTATTTCACAGAACTTTAATCATTCCAACTTTGAATCCTCACTGCACACCTTTTGGGAATCCAATGAGCCATGGTAGGAACCCTGATTTTTTTTTCAGTAAGGTGTGACTTCCCACTTATTAAAGTTTGTTTTGTTTTGTGGCAGAGACCTGAGATTTCATCTGTATAGGAAACTACTATTGAAGATACTCCCTCTATTGATACAGAGTAGCAGCTTGTGGGAAATTTATTGTCCTAGAAGTTACCCAGGAGGACTTAACAGATAAATGATTTTAACAGTCACACAAACTAGTATGTGGCAAAGTTAGGACTTAAACTCTTGTCTTTCAAAATCTAACCACTATACCATATTTTCTTTACTTAAAATATTTATGGGTTGATAAATAACTTCCATGAGGCAGCTAGGTAGCTCAGTGGATATAGCTCTAGACCTGGAATCAGGAAGATCTGAGTTTAAATCCAGCCTCACATATGTGTTAGCTGTGTGATCTTGGGCAAGTCACTTAACTTCTCTTTGCCTCAATCCACTGAAGAAGGAAATAGCAAGCCACTTTAGTATATTTGCCAAGAAAACCCCAAATGGGATCAAGAAGAGTTAGACTATGAGTGAATGACTGGACAGAAGCTATCTTCTCTACATCCCTTCTTCTTCCCCTTCCTGTCTCCCATCTACTTCTTATGATTTAAAAAAAAAGAAAACAAGAAAAATAAAACGTTCAACCAGAAGCCTGCTGCTGTTGTCAGGAAACCACTTAGTAATTGTACATGCTTAGCAGAGTGCCTTGCACAGAGATGCTTAATAAATGTGCATTAAATGGTTTAAATGTAAGTTATTCCAAATGTGCTGAGGATTTAGGCTTGTTTCTGTACTTTATCTCCCCTATTTTTATTAAGTTATGATAATAACTGGCAAAGTTTGCAAAACTTAGGTATATTATCCCGTTTGATCCTCATGACAACCTTATGAGTTCATTTCATAGAGGAAAATAAAACTCAGAGAGTTTAACACATGTGAACAGGAAGTGAGGGGAAAAAAAGTAGCTCTTACTGTGTGCCAGGTTCTGTGCTAAGTGCTTTACAAATATGAGCTTATTTGATCCTCACAGCAACCCCTCAAGGTTGGTAATCTTATTATTCCCATTTTACAGTGAGGAAACTGAGGCACACAGAGCTTATGTGATCTGCCACACAGCTAGTAAGGGTCACACAGCTAGTAAGCGTCTGAGGCCAGATTTGAAATGAGGTCTTGTTGACTCCACTAAGCCACTGAGCTACCCCGGCTTGGTCACAGAGCTTTTAAGTCTCTAAAGCCACTCCTCTTCTGACTCAGAGTCTAGTGCACTTCTGGTAGTACTGGAGCATTCAGATGTCCTTGTCACTTTACCATTTCTGAAAATTATTTCACATGTATGTGACTTTTAAAAAGTATTTACAAGAAATCTACAAGAAAATAAACAGATCCGGACTCCTCTGGCAATGTGGTAAAGTCTATGGACCCCTTCTCAGAGTAATGTTTAAAATGCACAAAATAAAATACATAGGATTACAAAGGAAACCAATTATGTTGAAATGTAGGTATTAAATTTTGCTTTTTTGAACAAGTTCACAGATCCCAGGTTAGAAACCTGAGAGATAGGCAAATAAACTCTTAGGATCTTAGCAGAGAAGAGGCCTCTAGTAATCACAGAATGACATTAAAGCTGGCCTATCTTTCTATAAAGTGCTTTGTAGTCTATAAAGCATGTTCTTCAAAAAACCCTCTGAGGAAGATAATGCTTAGGGACAGCCAGGTGGTGTAATGTATGCATAGCGCGCTGGACTTTGGTGTGAGGAAGACCTAAATTCAAATCCTGCCTCAGACACTTATGTGACCTGGACAAGTCATTATAATCCCAGCCTCAATTTCTTCATCTGTAAAATTGGGAATAATAATAGTATGTTTATCGCAGGGTTCTTGTAAGGATCAAGTGAGATAATTTATGTAAAGAGATTTGCAAACCTTAAAGCACTATGTAAATGCTATTTATTAAAAATATCTGTATTTGCAAATGAGGAAACTATCTTGGGTTAAGTGACTTGCCCAAGATAACCAAAATCCTTGCCTTGTCTTTTTTAGATCATCAACAAGTGGTCATTTTATCTTTTCTAAAAGACCTCTACTGACAGGGTACTTGATACATCCAGAAACAACTGGTAGCTCTCATCGCTACTAAGTTTTCCCTTCTGTTGAGCTGTCTGTGACTTTTACCCATTGGTACTATTTCTGCCTTTTGGGGCCAAGGAAGCCAAGTCTAATTCATTTTCCACATGGATTTGTAAATCTTCAAATATTTGAGAAAATGCTAAATTCTCTCTTCTTTTCCAGGCTAAATGTCCCTATTTCCTTCAGCCCATCCCCTCACCATTTGATCTTCTTCTTCTAGATCCAATCTAGCTTAATACCTTTTTTTCATCTCCATGAAGCTTTCTCTGATTCTCCTCCATCTGGAACTATTCCCTTCCATCTTCATAAATTGTTAACTATCTAATGGCAGTTTCACTTTGCATCTTGTATCATAGTGGGATATTTTTTCCACATTACTAAAGTTTACTCTTTTTGGTAATAGAGCATAGAGACTCAAGCTGTGACTTCAATAGTATAGGAATCTCCTGAATGAGGAAATTCCCTTTTCCAATGCATGATGCCACTTTCTGTGCAGCTTCTCATTTTAGAGGGTTGCCTAGGATTAAGTGATTTGCTCAGAGTCACATAGCCATTATGGATCAGAATTGGGACTTAATCCCAGGTCTTCCTAGCTGTGAGGCTAGATCTTTATCCACTATGGCAGGCTGCCTCTCTTTACTCTTGGTAATAACAGTAATAAAAATAAGAATAAATTTGTGAGTATAATACTATTATCTTAGAAACATTAGCCTGTACTTCTTAACAGTATGAACTTCATAAGTAGGTTGTCAATAGTTCTTTAATATAGTGTTTCGTGTGACTCAAATATATCCAGGAAAACAGTAATTATTGTCTTTGTCTTTTAGAGTTCTCAGTTCCAGGGCTTCAAAGGCCAGATTCCAAAGGTCAAAAAGCAGAGTGTTCATCTGATGAATTTGAGGAATACAGGAACATTGAATGACAAAAAGTAAGTTGCATTAGCAATGCTTCTCATTTATCATCACACACTGATCTGGAGCACCCATGCAGTGGCGCTGCTATCATTAGGATAGTATTCTTCAGAATTCCCCTGGGCCCCATCCTGAACTGTGGCTGGGCAGCAGCAGCAACCAGACTTAGGGGACATGGAGGTGATGGAACCCATCCCTGGCTCAAAGTCCCATTCAAGGAACCAAGGCTGGAATCATGAGTGAATAAAAATTAAACTCCAGGCACAGAGGAGCAATACTGTGGGTTAAGAAAAGCCCAGCTAGGGAAACAATTTTTATAGCCAGTGTCTCTGATAAAGGCCTCATTTCTCAAATATATAGAGAACTGAGTCAAATTTATAAGAATATAAGTCATTCCCCAATTAATAAATAGTCAAAGGATATGAACAGTTTTCAGATGAAGAAATTAAAGCTATATATGGTCATATGAAAAAATGCTCTAAATCACTATTGATTAGAGAAATGCAAACCAAAACAATTCGGAAGTACCACATCACACCTATCAGATTGGCTAACATGACAAAACAGGAAAATGATAAATATTGGAAAAGATGTGGGGAAATTGGAACACTAATGCGTTGTTGGTGGAGCTGTGAACTGATCCAACCATTCTGGAGAGCAATTTAGAACTATGACCAAAGGGCTATAAAACTGTACATACCCTTTGACCCAGCAATACCACTTCTAGGTCTGTATCTCAAAGAGATCATAAAAACAGGGAAGGCACCCACATGTACAAAAATATTTATAGTAGCCCTTTTTGTGGTGGCCAAGTATTAGAAATTGAGGGAATGCCCATCAATTGGGGAATGACTGAACAAGTTGTCGTATGTGAATGTAATGGAATGCTATTATTCTATAAGAAATGATGAGCAGGCAGACTTCAGAAAAACCTGGAAAGACTTACATGAACTGATGCTGAGTAAAGTGAGCAGAACCAAGAGAACATTGTACACAGTAACAGCAACATTATACAATGACTAACTTTGATAGACATCTCTTCTTAACAATGCAAGGATCTAAGACACCTCCAAAGACTCATGATGGAAAATGCTATCTACATCCAGAAAAAGAATTATGGAGTCAGGATGCAGATCAAAGCATACTATTTGCTCTCTTTTTTTTGTTTGTTTGTTTCTTATTTCTCATGGTTCCTCCCGTTGGTTCTAATTCTTCTTTACAACGTGAATAATGTAAAATATGTTTAATATGAATGTATATGTAAAGCCCATTTCAGATTTTACCCCGTCTTGGGTAAGGGGAGGGGAGGAAAAGGGAGAAAATTCGGAACTCAAAATCTTATGGAAGTGGATGTTGAAAACTAAAAATAAATTAATTAATAAAGAAAAGAAAAGAAAAGTCCAGCTATCCACATCCAGAGAAAGAACTATGGAATCTGAATGCAGATTGAAGCATACTATTTTCTCTTTTTTTTTTGTTTTAGTTTTTTCTTTCTCGTGGTTTTTCCCTTTTGTTGTAATTCTTCTTTCACAACATGACTAATGTGGGAATATGTTTAACATGATCACACATGTATAGCATATATCAGATTGCATGCTGCCTTGGGCAGGGGGTAGGGAAGGAGAGGGAGAAAATCTAGAACTTAAAATTCTATAAAAGTGAATGTTGAACCCTAAAAAGAAAGAAAAAAAAGAAAATCCCAAGAAATAACTCCATAATAAGTACAAGTAGAGCCTCAAAGAAAAAGAATGCCATTTTTGTAAGACCTCTAAGAGGAATGGAAGACATGAAGCAAGAGATTTTTCTTAACAAAATTAGAGCACTTGTGGAAAAAAAAAATTGGAAGGAGAATAAACTACTTAGAACAGAAGGGTAGAAAATATGACCCAAACAGTAGACTCTCAGAAAAAATAGAATGGAATAATCAGCACTCAATGATTCAATAAGACAACATGAAACGTAAAAACAAAGTCCAAAGACTGAAAAATTAGAAGAACATGTGAGGTATCCACTATTAAAAGCAGCTGACCTGGAAAACAGCTCAAGGAAAGATAATTTAAGAATCATTGGTTCTTTGTAATATGGGATGGTTCTCTTGGAGGAGAAAGGAGAAAGGATACACTGGGAGATGTAGGTGATGTAAAAAAAAAAAGCAAGCAATAAAAATCAATTTCTCAAATCAATGCACAACCCCAAAAGAATTTTTGTTTGATTAAAATTTAACTAAATTTTTATTGATATATTTTGTTTTTACATCACCCTTTCTGAATATAACCCTGACCTGCCCTCTCCCCAGCAAGCCATCCCTCATAACAAAGAGAGAAGGAAAAAAGAGGTCAACAAAACTAAATGAACGCAATGGTGTCTGACACCAGTAGAATCTCTCCTGCCTCCCTGCTAAGCAGGGAGGAAGGTGCATTTTCTCAACTTTGAGGACAAGCTTCAGGGCATGTGTATACGTGTGTGTGTGTGTGTGTGTGTGTGTGTGTTTTGTATGCACTAGTTTTCTTTAAGAAAATGCTTTCATATACATTCAGTAAACACTTGTGCATTAAGTGATCTGACCATATCATGGATTTGCCAGTTCATTCCCAACATCCTTCTTTGGATTGTTAGTTTTAGGCTGAGCCATGCAAATCCATTCTCTTAATATTTAGTTGTCCGTTTGGGCTTGTGATTTTTAGTTCCTCTTAAGGAATAGGAAGATTTATAGTTTCTAATATCTGTCCCATTCTCCAGCTTCTAGAGTTATTTTGAAAGCAAAAAGTATTGTCCCAATATAAAATAATAGTCTTAGAGTTTGCAGAAACCTCAGAGGGTGTCTTGTGCATCTCCTGCATGCATCCCCTCAACAATATCCCACCTAAAAAAGTGATGGTTTTGTCAAAGTCTTCTTGGTCTTCAGGAGTGTTTCAACTTCATAGAATCACAGAATTTCTGAATGGGGAAAAACTTAAGAGATTATCTAGTCTGGTCCATTTTGGGGGGTGGGGGAGGGAGGTTGTTGTTTTTAACGTTTTCTTATTTTGTTTAAAAAAAATGTTAATTTGATACTGAGCAAAATGAGATTTGTTAATTGTATGCTGCTATGTTTTCTGCCATCCCTGCAGCTCAATAGATGAAGCCACTTATGAAAAACTTGCAGAGGAAACACTGGACTCCTTAGCATATTTTTTTGAAGATCTTGGAGACAAGCCTTACACCTCCAAGGATTACGATGTTTCCTTCAGGGTATTTCTATTCTTACTTTAATTTTTCTGGGGCAGCTAGGTGGCGCAGTGGATAAAGCACCGGCCCTGAAGTCAGGAGGACCTGAGTTCAAATTCGGCCTCAGACCAGATACTTGGCACTTACTAGCTGTGTGACCCTGGGCAAGTCACCTTAACCCCAATTGCCTAAAAAAAAAATTTCTGACCTGTTGGAACAACAACACATTGAGGGAAAGAAGTCTCTCTCAGCACTTTCAATAAGTATGACACAAAATCATAGATTCTGAGCTGAAAGGCCCTTGAAGGTCATTCTAGTCCCACTTCCTCAATTTACAGATGAGTTACAAAGAGGTCAGATGACTTGCCCAAGGTCACAGAGAAAATAAGTCGAAACCAGGCCCTCTGAATACAGATCCAGGGCTCTTTCCACCAGCTGGCTACTTCTTTAAGGAAAGTAGCTCAATGAATCCTTTTATAAAACTGGCCCAAAGTTATAAGGAGAACAAGTGTCTCCCCAGGTGGCTTGGAGAAAAAGAATGAGAGACCTTCTAAGAAGATACAGGAAGCCTTCTTTTGGGAAGGTGGACTTTGGTGGGGTTTCTTCTCATGTTAGGGCCAGGTAATTGTCAGCAAGACAACAGTCCTACCAAGCAGCAGTACAGAAGTCAACAAGCCTTTATTAAGTTCCTGCTATGTGCTGTGATGCTATGTGTCAGAAATAAGACTCAGAGTCTGCCTGTTAAAAATTAAGTCTGTGCATGTGAGCCAAGCTAACAAACATTAAGTGCCTTTTGTGTGCAAAGGAATCTACAACAGTCTCTGCTTCCTAGGAGCTTACATTTTGCTAGGGTTTACAACATATACACAAATAAATAAATACATGATTATTTGAAGAGAAAGTGACCCAGAAGAACTAGAGGGACCAGGCAAGACTTCATGGAGGAGATGGCATATGAGCTGGACCTCAGAGGTAACTCAAGCTTCTAAGAGACAGAGAGGAAAACAAAATGTATTCCACTTTTGCAGAATAGCATCTCCAGAGGCAAGAGATGGGATTTGGAATTTGGGAAATTTGGGAAAGGGTGCTTGGTGATGCAGTGAATAGAGCCGTGGGCCTGGAGACAGAAAGACCAGAGTTCAAGTTTGACCTCAGACACTTACTAGCTATGTGATCCTGGGCACGTCAATTAACCCCTGCCTGTGTAAAACTGGAGAAGAAAATGACAATCCATTCCAATATCTTTGTCAAGAAAACCCCATAGACAGTGTGAAGAGTCAGACATGACTAAATAATGATAATAATTGTACTTTCATACCCTACCCAGTATAGAAATTATATTAAAGCAGTATGACATAACAGCTATATTTATATATAGTACTTTAAGGTTTACAAAGTGCTTTACAAGTATTATTTTCATTTGATTCTCACAACAACCCTGAGAGGTAGCACCTATTATTATCATTTTACTGTCAAGGAAACTGAGGCAGACAGTAGCTAAGTGACTTGCCCAGGGTCACACAGCAAGTAAGTATCTGAGACCATATTTGAACTGACTCCAGCTCTAGGCTATATTCAGCATGACACCATCTGCTTCATCTAGGATAGGAAGCCAGCTTTAGAGTCAGTACTACCTGGAGTCAAGACCCGCCTCTCACACATACTAGCTATACGACCCTGGGCAAATCACTTAAACCCTCGGGGCTTCCAGGCAACTCTTTAAGAGAAGAATGTCGAACCTTTTTAATGTCATGGACCACCTTGGCAATCTGATGAAGCCTGTGGGTCCCTTCTCAAAATAATGTTCTTAATGCAGAAAATAAAATACATAGGGTTGCAAAACAAACAAAGCATATTGGAATACAGTTATCAGATATGAAGAAAGAAGTTCTCAGACCCCAGGGTAAGAAGTGTTTTCTCTCTGGAATTTCCTACACTGATGAAATCCCAGGTCTGAACCTGCAAAGGGAAGCCCATATTGAATGAAAAGGAGGCCTTCCACCCCAACTTCTCCTTATCCCCTAATTATACTCAGCTCTTGCTGCCCTGCGTCATTTAATAATATTGTCCTAGACTATAAACCCCATGAGGTCATGAACTGTCATCTAAAATTCCTGTTTTACCCAATACTTTTCATAGTTCTCTGCATGCAGCAAGTATTTAATAGATGTTTCTTATTGCTAGGAATACTTCCATAAGATGTTTGTTTGTTTATATGTGGTACTCTGCACTGAATTAAGATTTCTTCAATTGGATGAAGACAACCACTTATGTTTGAGAGTTTAATAAAGGGCTATGACAAACCACTAGGTGTCGTACTTAGGAAAGGGTTCTTTCTGGCTTCTGACCTTTTTAATTATTATTTAGTACGAACTCCCCATTGAGCAAGAAGGAGAAAATCCCCTGTTAAGGTTAATTCTCTTGACAGCAGTTAATTAATACTAGGAAGCAAGCATTTTGGTTTAAACTCTGGAATTATTTATGATAAGGATCTTTTTGAAGATCATCTCAGGTGTATAAACAACATTTAATGAGTACCTCCCCCTACTATGTCCCTTCTCCCATCCCCACCCCCCAGGAACTATGCCAGTATGCTAGGGTAGACATTGTGGGCCCTGCCCCCAAGAGCTTCACAGCCTAACCAGGGAGACTGACCAGTACACAAAGGAGAGAGTTACATGATGGCTTTCCAGGGACATGTTATTAAATATTAAATAGAGTATAAACAGAGTACATGTATCCTTTGAGAACACTGGATAAGGGTGTGAACAACAGTCAGTCTAGGGTGAGTGGTGGAAGACATCTTTGAAGAAGAGGGTTTAGAAACAGGTTTTATGGATGTAGAGGGACCTGAGTTAGTAAAATAAAGCTGGAGGAACATTCTGTAGCTTATATATTTATATGTATTATTTATATACATGGTCTCCCCCATTAGAATGTAAGCTCCTTGAAGGCTGGGATTGTTTTTTGCTTTTTCTTTGTAAAGTACATAATGTTAAGTACATAATGCCTGGCACAGAGCAAGCCATTAACAGATGTTGATTGAGTTGATTGATTGATAGGGTTATAGATACAGCACTGAAAGAGAATTTAAAAGTCAGCTGCTCTTACTGCATTTTACAGTTGAGGCCCAGGGAAGGTAAGTAACTTACAAAAGGTTATACAGGTAATAAGTGCCAGAGCCAGTATTTGAAGGTGGGTCCCGTGATTCCAAGTTCAGTGGTCTTTCCACTGTATGACATTGCATCCCTTGTGTACCCTTTAAATTTTTTTTTTCTAAACTCCATAAATACCCCCCAGAAAAGTACAATTCCATATACAGAGTAGAACAGGAAAATATTATTTATATGAAACCACAATTCTCTATTACTTACACTTGCTTTTTTCACAAGTATATAATTTAATTAGTTACTTTCAGAGCAATCCTGCTTATCTGTGTTACCTTCTGAACTTCTTTCTGTTCTCTTCAGTACATTTTTTAAAATGCTTCAATGGCCTACTTTTCTTTTTTTTTTTCTTTCTTTTTTGTAGGCAATCAGGGTTAAGTGACTTGCCCAGGGTCATATAGCTAGTGTCTGAGGTCAGATTTGAACTCAGATCCTCCTGACTTTAGGGCTGGTGCTCTATCCATTGTGTTACCTAGCTGCCCCATTTCTTTCTTTCTTTCTTTCCTTTTCTTTTTTTTTAAACAACACTATTACTACCTTCCCTTGTCGCAGTGGGAGAAAAAAGGTAGAATCCTGGTAACAAATAAGCATAATCAAGGAACATAAATCCTGTGTGGAAGGTATTTTCCCCCCAGTGGACTCACACCAGAAGCCTTTATTTATTTGTTTATTCATCATCTGTTTATTTTTCCCTTGTTAACAAATATGAATAGTCAAGCAAAATTAATTTCTGTATTATGTCCAAAAATATATGTCTCATTCTGTACCCTGAGTCCATCCCCTTCTTGTCAGGAAATGGTTAGCAGGCTTCATTATTGAGCCTTTAGAATCTTGGTTGGTTATTGCACTTCTAAGAATTCTAAGTTCTTTGTTTTTACAGGGTTGTTAATTATATAACTCCTGGCCCTACTCACTTATCTCTGTATTAGCTTATACTATTTCGTCGTTGATTATTGTACAGTGGTATTCCATTACATTCATATACCATAATTTGCTTAGCCATGCCCCTTCCCAATACTTTGCCGCGTAAAGACAGCTAGGTAACTATCAATAGAATGATGAGCCTAGAGTCAAGAAGACCTAAGTTCAAATTTGACCTCAGACACTTAACAAGTTGTATGACCTTGAACAGGCCACTTAACCTCTGTTTGCCTCAGTTTCCTCAACTGTAAAATAATAACAGTCCTTGCCTCCCAGAGTTGTTGTGAGGATCAAATCTGTGAAGTGTTTAAAACAATACCTGGCACATAGTAAGTACTATATAAATGCTAGCTGTTATGATGATGATGATGGTGATGATGATGATGATTACTCTGTGTGTAGAGCCTTAATAGTAATAATCTTCCTCTGAAGGTCACCTTCAGAACTTCATCATGGTTTCTAAAAGCTAGATCAGTAGAGCAGAAGATCTGAAAGCTCTTACCTAATGTTAAAAGCCTTCAGAAATAGGCCTAGGGACAGATCATCTAACAACCAACCTAATTAGGTTTAGTTTCAGCACACATTTATGAAACTTCTACTTTGCTCAAAACTACAAAGTTTGGGTAAAACATACCCCCTTCCCTTTTGAAGCTTACAGTATTGTAGTGGGATGTACCAACACAGGTAACTCAAATCCACAGTAAATATGTTGGAAAAGTGAAAAACAAAATGCTACATGAGGTCAGAGGGGGAAGAAAACTTAGAGGTGATCTTTGAGTTGAGTTTTAACAGAACAGAGCAGTGAAAGACACCTATGAAAGCATAGGTGACTTGCATCTGCAAATCCCGTACATGGGTAATTTCTGGAAGACAAGACAGTGAATAGGCCTGTTTGGTTGGTAAAACACGTTGGGAAAAATGAATGAAATAAAGATAAAAAGGTAGAGCCAGGTTATGGAGGGCCTTGAATGCCAAGAAAAGGAGTTTTTACTTTCTAGGCAGTTGAGAGTCAGTGAAGACTTTCAAGCAAAGGAATGACAATTAACCCATGACTTATTAAAATACTTTTTTCAGAGGGCTAGGGGGAACTAGTTGAGTATCCTTTTCAAAACTTTGTGTTGGTAGCTTTTATTTCATGTCACTTTCATTTCTTAATATAACCTTTCCCATCCCCTACCAAGGAACCTGCTTTGTCTAACAAAGAATAAAATGGGGGGGGGGGGCAGCTAGGTGGCACCTAGGTGGCGCAGTGGATAGAGCGCTAGCCCTGGAGTCAGGAGGACCTGAGTTCAAATCCAGCCACAAGCTCTGTGACTCACTTAACCCTGTTGCCTAGCCAAAAAAAAAAAAGAAAGAATAAAATAGGAGGAAATAAAAAGCAATTCAGCAAAACTAACTGACACATCAACCAAGTCTCAGGGTGTGTGCAGTGTTCCATACCCATAATGCACTTCTGCAAAGAAGTACTTTTCTCATCTTTTCTCTTGAACCAGTCGTGGTCCTTAACAATGTTCAATTTGATTTGGGGGTTTTTCCATTTACCATGTTGTGGGCATTGTGTATGTTTTCTTGGTTCTGCTTATTTCATTCCATTTCAATTATTAATTTTTCCCATGCTTCTCTGAATTCTACATGTTTCTTAGTTCTTAGCCATTCCCTAATCACTTGGCATCTACTTTGTTTCTAGTTCTTTGCTAACACAAAAAGTGCTGCTATGAATATTTTGGTGAATTTGGGACCTTTTTTCTGTCGTTGATCTCCTCATGGCATATGCCCACAATGGTATTTCTGAGTCCAAAGGCAGTGAATTATTTTTTAATGTCATTTTCCCCCTTCAATTTAGTCCTTAGAAATAGTAAATCAGAAGCATCCTCTTTGTTCTGTTCTGTTTCCTGTTCTAAAATTAATGGTGGCATACTTCATACAAACCTGATTTAATAATGTATTAGGATTCTAATTGGGTCTAATTTTAATTGTCACTGTGCGGTTATTATTTAATGATTAGGTTGCACCTGGAAAATAAACTGTTTGTATTGCCTTTCCATACCTAATAATTGTACGATTATTGCTACTATCATTATTATTTTTATTTAAATAGTTTGCTTTCATACTTGCAGAAATTTTTATAAGAACTATTCACAACAGTTAAGTTGCCGTGGGGTTGGGAGTTGACCCAAAAGAATAGGTTATTTCCATGTAGATGTTATAGAGATCCTTTCTTCAGGTCACAGTTGATGTACAGTGAAGAAGACCCAGAAAATCTTTCATTGCCAGTCTGATTAAGGGGAATTTTATTTTTCTAATCTGTTTCTCCCATATCCTGTACATCCTAAAGAGGCACAGGAGATGTGGAAATAAAAGGCTCTACCATTGAAAGGATATTTTAAAATTTACATTAGTTATTTGGAGGGCAAAGGTGAGTGAACAAATCTGTTTCCATGTATGACTTGAAGTATAAGAGAGGTGTCTTCTAAGCATTAAAAAAAAAAAGTAAAAATAAAAAGCTTTCTGATGACATGTGAAAAGATCTGGGGTTGGAGCAGATTCAGGGGGAGCCTGGGGCTTCAGAGCTCCTCACCATCATCCTCCCACAGTAAACAAAGTAAATGGTTAAGTGGATTTAACCTGTTTGATATTCCTTTTGTGAGTATATTTACATGTTGAATTTTACATGTCTAATTTTATTGTTTGTTTATATGTGCATTTTGAATGTTTGTGGATGTTGAGTATATAAGAACACTACCCTGGGTATAAGACTAGGTAGTTACAGAACTCTCTCCATGTTGTGACCTTGAGCAGAACTCTGAACCTCAGTTTCCTCATCTGTAAAAGTAGGGCTCATCATAGCTGCCCTAACTTGCCTTTAGACAGGGTTTTTAGTAAGGACCAAATGAGATTAAGAATGTGAAAGTGTTTTCAAAGTCATGAGATATTATTATTTCTAAACCCTAAATCAGGCCTGCACAACCTGAGGCCCATGGGACCCTTGTGGCAGCCCAGAGGATTTCAGGCAGCCTGAGAAAAATGCAGAGGAAAACATCCACTCCATTTTTTGCAGGCCACCCAAAATCCTTCAGGGTGTGCATGCCTGCCCTAAATCAAGATTGTTGTGATATCTGTTGTGTTCAAATGTGATTGCAAAGTATTGAGAAACTGGGAGGTTCAAAGCAATTATGACGTGATGCCAATTTTCAATTCCCCTCCCCCCCCACCCCAAACCCTAGGATGGTGTGCTAACAGTAAAGCTGGGTGAAGACCTGGGAACCTATGTGATCAACAAACAGACCCCCAACAAGCAGATCTGGCTGTCTTCTCCATCCAGGTATGTAAGTTATCTTGTTCTGGAAAAATTGAACTGCGACGTACCTTAATAATTTCCTGTGGTGCCCTTTCCCTCTCCTCCTCTCTTTTCCCCCTCCCTGCCCATTATTAACTAGCTTGAAAAGTGAATCTTCTTGTATGTTTGCATACATTTATCTCTTGTTCTAAGCAGGAAGATGTACACCAATCACATGACTTCTCCTTGCTGATAATTTGGTTCCTGTGAACAGACATGAAGGTATTTAGCCAAAAAGATATGTAAATGAAAAAAAAGATGTGTCTTTTAGGAACTAGGGTAGGCTGTCTTCATCATCTCTGAATTAATGGCATGTCTGTAGCAAAGTCTTGTTTCATGCTGTATTATTTTTAAAAAAAAGTTTAATATCTTTTGTTGCCACATTACCTTTATGTCCAAGCATATCCTTACTCCTCTATCCACCAAGCCAACCCTTGTAACAAACATTAGAGAAGAAGAGAAAAAAGCAGTAAGTCCAAACCAGCCACCACCACATCAACAGTCTGACGGATGCTAAAGGATCACCTCCAATCCCAACCCACCCGTCCCAGTGTCTGCAAAGAAGGAGAGAGAAATGTTTTCTCCTCTCTTTGTCAGAGACAAGGTTGGTCGTTAGAACTACACAGCTTTACATTTCAGGGTTTTTCCCAATGCACAATACAGTTTTAGTACCAACTTTGACCCCTGATTTGTTTTGCAGTTCTTCTTTGGCTGCTTCAAACATAGAAACCAAAGGTTAGCAGAGTTCCATTTGCAGCATAGTGCAGCAGGTTTGACTGAAATACACGAGAGTTTTAAAGGGCGAGGCAAAAACTGTCCAAGTCACCTAGTACACAGCCAGAGTTTCCATAGATGCATACTTACTGGGGAGGAATAAGATAGGAAAAAGCACATGGTTCAGTATAAATGGTGTTGCATGTTTCCCTGCCCTAGTGTTTACATTAATTCTTGGATAATTAGCATGGGCAATTAATGAATGATCTCTTCACCATGCTGTGTTCAATCACTCTGTTGTAAGTGAATTCGGTAGGGGTCAGATATTAGTAAACCATTGCTCTCACTTCCTTCAGGCTCATAAACGATGTTTCCAATTCATGTTATTCCTGGTGATTGCCTGGATTTTAACATGGCATTTGGATGAACAATCTGTAGAATCTGTCTATCTGTATTTTTTCTAGGACTGACAATATAAATAGATAATAAGCTGTTCTTAGCATTAAACAGGAGGAGTAGGCTGGATTACTTTCAGAAAATTACTGAGCTCCTTTAAAATCCCCAGACTCTCCTAGAAACTAAAATCCATCTTATAAATTCCAGTATCCTACTGACTTTGTCATAAGACTTTGAGACATGGCCCACAGCAGCTTTAGAAGATTTGAAAATGAATCTCATGCACAAGACAACAGAAAGGTGCATATGGGGATTAGCCAGATGAACTATAATAATAATAATAACAACAACAACAATAACTAGCATTTATTCAGTGCTTTAAGGTGTGCAAAGTACTTTACCTTTGTTATCTCATTTGAGATAGTAACCCTATTATGTAGGTGCTGTCATTATCCCTATTTCACTGGTGAGTGAAGTGAGTCACAGGGAGATGAATTGGCTTGCTGAGGGTCACACAGTTAATAAGTGACTGATACAAGGTTTGAACTCATCACCCTGGCTCCATATCCAGCACTCCTTTTACTATGCCACCTATGTGGAACCAATAAGGAACCTTGAAAAAGAACAGGAATAAAGGATATCACCAAAGAAACACATCCTTACAGTGCTAGTGAAGCAGGGGACAGAGGTTTGATCCTTATGTGGATCAATTAGTTTCATCTCAGTCCATGGCCATGGCCATCATCCCTTACCCATGGCCAGCTATCCTATAAATCTGTGCTCTTGTTCACAGCAGGGACTAAGTGAGGAAAATATGGTTGGATCACTGCAAATTCATCCTCACTCCTGGAAAAACATCTCAGCCTACTTGGGCGCTAGCAAGAGTATATGTGTCCGTAGCTTCCTCTCCATTTTTAGAGGATAATACTAGTAGTCATGGCAACCACCAAAAAAAATATAGCTATGTCTGGAGACTGAAAAAGGCCATGCAAGCCCATGTTTTATTTGGACACACTTGACAGTAACATGATGCTATACCAGTCTTGCTCAGAAGTGTATTTCAGTGAATAATAATAAATTTGTGGAAAGCCCAAGTAGCATTTTTCATCTGCAATATATGCCAAGAAAATTTTTAAAGAAACTGCTGACAATCCATGTAGGGTAGGTTACAAATACTAATTTTTTTTTTAAAATGTATTTTTCTATTTTTCCCTCTTTAGGTAAAATTTATCTTTCAGATTATTTGATTTGGTTGAGAACTTTTCCAGATGCTTCCTATGACATTGGTTGATTTACCTATGAAAACACAATGGCTTTTTGTAGCCACATTATCCCTGCTGACCAGGTCCTCTGTGTGATATACTGGGGAATGAGCAAAAAAAAAAAAAGAGGAAAGGAAAGGAAAAAGTTGTGCAAACATCAATGAATAGCACTCTTTGAAAGGCATGGGCTTTGGAAATGTGCCAATCGAAGTGAAAGTGCTTGAATGTTAATTACCATTTGCTTGGCCTTTATGTAGTGTGAGAATATTTTTTAAAAGAAAGAAAAACTCCTGAGAACTGTCTTGTTGAACAAGTTAAACCCATAGATGAATTATGATTGTTTTTCATGTAAATTAAGGTTTACCATCTGTAGCGCTTATCTTTATAGACTCTATTAATAGCCCCCCAAAATTCAAATATTTCAGTCATGTTATTAATAGAGAAGGCCTGGTGATTTTTCTCATAGGCAAGTTATTACAAAATCATTTGAAGATAAGTTTGTAAAAATAAATAAAGGCTGCTTCATGGTCAGATCCATTCAGTAGATGTATATAGCGTGATAGTGGTGGATTTCACCCACATTCTTCATGAAAAAAGCTGTAAGAAACAAGGAAAGGATAGCATTGTGATCTGTAAAGTAAATGGGATACATAAGAAGATACCTAAGGATTTTCCTAAAGCATGAACAATTACAGATAATCTAAAAGAAGAATTCAAAGGCAAGAAATAGTTTACATGACTTAAGGATAGTTGAATGAGGACCTAGGCAAAGAAGCAACAAACTGGAAGAAAAAAAACAGTTTTGTTTTTTTTTAATCCTGGACCTGTGATTTATCTTCACCAACACAGATCAGCAATTCAGCTTTGACTTACAGATCAAGAGTTACCCAGGCCACTAAGAGGTTAAGAAACCTGCCCAAGGTCATACAGCTAGCATAAATAAGAGGAAGTATTTGAACCTAACTGATACTGACACTATCCTTACTTAAGCCAGATGAGAAGTATGGGAATAATGACTTGTTTTCTAAAAAGAGGCAGCAAAACAGGATAGCATATAGAAAAAAGGAGTAATTCTATATTAGGAAAACAACCCCCCCAAAAAGAAGAAATTTGTCTCATAAATTAGCACTTATTCCAAAATAACTTACTATTCCTTAAATTACTCCTAAATGGAGTGGGGGATATATCCTTGAGAATTAAATGAGTTGTGTAACTGAAAAGGGGATAGAAATACAACAGAACCCCTTTACAATTCTAGTTGTTAGGGAGAAAGTGAATATTTGTGTTATAGGCTGAGAATATGAATAATAGACCTTAACTATGTGGAATTATTTTGTAAGGGACATGATTTGACTTTACCAGCATGGGCCTGCTTATATGTCTGTTGTTTGAGGACCAGCCTACCTAAATTTGGAGAAGCACATTACCAAGTTGACCAAAGGGTGGTTAGTCTTTTTGGCCATAGCAATACCCAAAGACTGTCATAGAACAGTTGTACTCTAGGCCTATAGAATAGAAGGAGCAACCCCACTGATGAATACACATATCATTGACATGTAAATGTGATCTGATTTATGATTTTCCTTAATTTGTATAATATTGAGGTATATACTATAGCAGTTCCATTGTTATTTTTTAAAAATTATGCTGATATCTTTTGTTTTTACATCATCTTTATTTCCCAATATATCCCTCTACTCACTTATCAAGAGCCACTCCTTTTGGCAAAGAACCAAAAACAAAAAGTTCAACAAATCTAACACATCAGCCAAATCCAACATTACATCTAATGTTCCACACCTATAGTCATCTCCTCCTTGCTCCTTCCCGCCTTAGCTGCTACAAAGAAAGAAGGGAGGGAGATAAAGTTCTCATAATCTTTTCTTCAGGGCCAAGTTTGGTCATTGTAATTTCACAGCATTCAGTATATATAAATACACACACACATTTCCTATTGATTCTTTCCTTTTTTTTTTAATTTTTGCTTTCCTGGTTCTGCCAAGTTTGCTTTTGTGAAAATTGCCCCGAGTCTTCTCATGCATTTCCATGATCTTCATACTTATCCACCATATTCCAGTCATATTCCATTACATTCACGTATCACAATTTGTTTCTATTCCCTAATTGCCCTAATTCCCTAATTGCCTAATTCCCTAATTGGGTTCATTTCTCTTCGTTAGGGCAATATTTGTTTTTTATATTTCTGCAACATTCATTTTCGATTGTTTTGAATCAAATTGGTGGCTGTTATTTCCATTTATGTTTTTGTAGTCATTACATAACACTGTTTTCCTGGTTCTGCTTACTTCACTTTGCCTCTCAGTTCACAATAGTCTTCCCACGCTTCTCTGGATTCATCATGTTGTTTCTTATAGCACAGTAATTTTCTGTTACATTTGTTTAGCCATTCCTCAGTCAATGGGGGCAAGGAAATACTGATTTTTTTCCACTCTACCCTCTAAAAAAAAAATCACACAGTACCCAGTGCCACAAATAAGTGGAGATGACTGAACACTGCAATATCACCACACACAGGCTAGGGAGCCATGCTCAAATGGGAGGGAGATGAATTGGAAATTTGGTTCTGGGTGAGGGAGCCAAGTAATTTCCTGGATATGGTGATTTTTAGTAGTGATCATGGTGGCAATTCCTTCTCTTCTTTTTTCTTCTATTTGATGCTTATGTGGATGTTTTTGAAGCTCTAAGGAGGAGCTGGGTATAATCTTTACTTAAGGCCATTCACTCCACCACCTTGCTAGGACTTCTCAGCAAACTAGGGTGCCAAAGAGTTACTGTCATTAGAAGAAAATTTAGCACAGCTTGTAAGGGTCAAATAATTTCTCCAATAGGTTCTTTAAGTCTTAAATCATTATGTTCATGCCAAGCATTCTTGGCAACAGCCAATGAAATATCACCCCTAAAATAGTAGCCCTCATGAGTGAATCTAAATGTCATCTTTTGCTCCGAATGTGAAAAAAGAAGATACATAACAAAGTAATTGGAGCAGATAATCCTGACTCCAAACAGCCATCAGCTCCAGAGCTGCAAAAAAGGGAATGTCTGCACAGCTTACAATCAGTTTGATTTATCCTTATTTACAAGTGCCCACGTATATTGTTCCTACTCTGAAGAATATTCATTGGGATGTGAAGTTGAGCTGTCCTCCCTCATTTCCACTATAACCCTGCAGACTCCATTCCCTTGCACAGGAAGTTCAGTTCCCAGGGCAGTATAGTAAACAAATGAGAGGTGAGTAGGATGAGGTGACAGTAATTTTTCCACTCCGCCTTTGGCTATTTTATTCCTCTTTCCATTTTTTTCCAAGTGAAAAGGTGAGAAACGCTCATTCTGATAGCAGTTGTACTTATTATATGAACTTGGGAGCCAGTCTGTAGAGCATGAACAAATCTCACTCACTGACAGTATATGGTAATTCAAAGTAGTAAGAAGGTAGTACTGAGAGGCTGTCTGATTTCATGAAAAGAGAACTGGATTTGGAAGATCGTGGTTGAAATCCAGGTTCATCTCTTTTACTTTGTATCTTTGTGACCTTGTCAAGTCACTTTGTCTCGCTGGGCCTCAGTTTCCTCATCTCTAAAATTCCAGGGCTGGGGGTGGAGGAGTTTGGACTATCTGAAGTCTCAGCTCTAAAGCTGAGCAAATTTAGTGTTTTGCCTCCTTCCTTTCATACCTACCCCACTCCTGTTTGGAAAGGTAAGTGAGTAATATTCTTATTCTGCCTCTGTCTCTTCCCTGGTATAAAGAGAAAAAAATCACACAGATATCTTGATCTCTGAATAACTCACACATCACAACTTTTATCTATTTCAGTTTAAATTTAGAAAAAAGGATAATTTTTAATTTGCCTCCCAACCTAAGAAATATTTATGTAGATACTATGTTTTTAAAACATAGGAGACATATCCTAGTAAATAGAGGGCCAGCCTCTGTCAGAAAGACCTGAGTTCAAGTCACACCTCTGACCCGTAATAATAATGATAATAATGCATTTATATAGCACCTACTGTAATATTTCATTTGATCCTCACAACAACCCTAGAAGGTAGGTGCTATTATTATTCCCATTTTACAATTGAGGAAACTGAGGCAAATAAAGGTTAAATCACTGGGCCAGGGTCACTCAGCTAGTAAGTGTCTGAGGCCAGATTTGAACTCAGGTCTTCCTGACTCCAGGTCCAGTGCTCTCTACACTGTGCCAACTAGTTGCCTCATACTAAGACATACTGGTTGTATAACCCTAGGCAAACTACTCTATAAGACTAAAATAATTTACAAAGAAGCTGCTGGTCTGCATTGGTTAAAGGGATTCACTCAGCCTAGAGTTTTAACACTGCTGAAATTACGGATGCAGATCAAAACCAAAATTTACTAAATAATCAATAATCATTTATTAAGTACTTATTGCGTATAGGCACTGTATACATCTCCCAACTCCAAGTGTTTTCACTGGCTCTCCTCAACACCTGAAATGCTCTCACTCCTTGCATTTGCCTCCTGGCTTCCCTGGCTTCATTCAACTCTGTGAAAACCCCACTTTCTGCTAGAAGCTTCCCCACTGAGATTACCTCCAGTCACCCCTCCCCCACATCTTTTATGTAGCTGGTTCTTGGCTTGAGGACAGGGACAGTATTTTTGCTTTTCCCTGTATTCCCAGTGCTTAGCACAGTACCTGGGACATATTAAGTTCTTAATAAATGCTCATTGATTGTTTGACTTGATCTGTGGGGGTTACAAAAGATTCCACGTGTTTCTGGATCTCTATAGGGACAGTCTCTTCATAATGAAACATGTCTTCAATCACTTTGGGAAGTTCATTCATTTCTGGGCATCTCTGTAAATGTGAATTCTTGCTTCTTACCACATACTCTCTACATGGAATGTGTCATGTAGTTGTTTTGTCTTCTAGTGGTCCCAAACGCTACGACTGGACAGGGAAGACTTGGGTGTATTCTCATGATGGAATATCCCTCCATGAACTGCTGGAAATGGAATTTTCTCAAGCCTTGAAAACTCAATTAGACATGTCTTCCCTGTTCTGTTCTGGAAAAGACACTTGACAAAAGTCTAATTTTTAAAGATGTCGAAAGCTGTAGACAAAGAGTACCTCTCTCCTTCATGCCTGAATTTGTTTTCATCCTCTTAGTCCCACCCCCCATCTCGCATCATTTTATGTGATAGTTATGTGAAAAGAATATATATTTTTGACCTCAACTCTGGCTGTGGATTTCTTGAAATTGTTTAGCTCTATTTCTGTATTATATCTCACTTTCATAAGCCTACAACAAAGAACTATGAATGTTTTTTGTTTGTTTTTTAAATCACAAACCCCAAGGAAGGGTGAATTGGTTTCATTCTTATTACTATGAAGGATGCCCTATAAAAATAACAAAGTGACAAACAGATTGTCAGCCCCACCAGGCTTTATAAGAATGAGGCTAATTACTAGGTGGAACATAAATGTTCCCACACTCCATCAAAAGAGTAAAACAATACTTGTGAAAATCTTTAGTGTTTCAGCATCAAAGGCAGAGGGGGAATTCTCCAACAAAAGATAACTTCCTTTAGTTCTTGTCTGTTCTTAATTTTGAAGCCCATGTGCTCTGGGGCTTGGAGGAGAGACAGCTGGACAGTCTATTTATTATTCTTTGCTTCTAGTAAGGGGGTAAAGAAATGACAGTAACCACTTTAGGGGCAATTGTATAATAAAAATGCTGTTACTTTGGTTTGTGATGTCGCCCACATATAGGGAATTTTAATAGAATTCCTGTTGCTGGATTTCATGTGGCTCAGTTCTGTTCTTTACAGAAATTATTTTTTCTTAAAAACATACACACACAGTGCCTTTAGATATTAAATTGGTAAGGGGCAGCTATGTGGTGCAGTGGATAGAGCACCAGCCCTGAAGTCAGGAGGACCTGAGTTCAAATGCGGCCTCAGACCAAACACTTGACACTTACTAGCTGTGTGACCCTGGGCAAGTCACTTAACCCCAATTGCCTAAAAAAAAAAAAGAAGATATTAAATTGGTAAGACAAGACACCCTGTGTTAGCTGCTGCCATGCTTAGGTTTAGGGCAAATAAGATGTTATTAAGGCTACTGTGTTGTTTGCACTAAATATATATTCCATTATAGAAGGGAAATCTTAAAATAGAAAATAGAAATAAATAGTATTTAGACTGGGTTTTGGAAATCTTTTCTAGGTTGCTCCTCAGGTAATTTTCTTTTATTATTATTATTGGTTGCGATTAAAGTGATAGAATCAATAAAAATCTTGTTTTTTTCCTGATGACCAGTTTAGTAACAACTTACTTGGAAGTCAACTGTCCAGCAATCTCACCTATTTAGAACACAGGAAGCAAGCCAAAACAAACAAAAAAAAAAAACCAACCTCTACAGAAACAAAATAGAGTGTGCTTTACCCTTAGAAGAGCCTCTCAGACCCTCACTGACCCTATTTACTCTTACTTTACACATAGGCTTTTCAGACAAAAATGGTTATCTCATTTTCAAGCCGACAGATAATTAGGAGGGGAAAGAACTGCCACAATCAGGTTTATCAACAGCAGTGAAAGCTTGGTTGCAAAAACTAAGACAGCAAATCTGTGAAATCAGACAGCTTAAAAAAAAGGCAACAATGTAGGGTCATTTAGTATAGGGACAAGCCAACTTATACACATCACAGTAAGCCCTGCGTCATCACTGTTTTTATAGCACAGTATGATCATTGATGTTCATAGTGTTGACCTCAACCATCAAGAAAAAAATTAAAATAGATTCAGATTAAGAAAGCAGATAAAATAGATGATGCATTTAAAAATTATTCTTTCATCTAAATTTCTTGAAATAAGCATTTTGTTCTGTAAAGAGAAGCTTGGGGCAGATAGATGGCACAGTGGATAGAGCACCAGGCCTGGAGTCAGGAAAACTCATCTTCCTGAGTTCAAATCCAGCCTCAGACATTTACTAGCTGTGTGACCCTGGGAAAGTCAGTTCATCTTGTTTGCCTCAGTTTCTTCATCTGCAAAACAAGCTGAAGAAGGAAATGGTAAACCATTTCAGGATCTCTCCCAAGAAAACCCCAAATGGAGTTATGAAGAGGCAGACATGACTGAAAATACGTATATATGTATATATACATATATGTATACGTATATATATATATAATATATATACATTATATATAATGTGTGTGTGTATGCATAGTCTACATAACTCTTGCAGTTGTTCTTTTTGAGTATGAGTCATGCTGTTTAATATGTGCTGTAAGAGGATAGGAGCTCAAGAGAGGATATAATAAGGCTATAATAATATTATATAATAATATAATAAGCTCAGGAAGAATATAATAAAGATCTTTCTACAGTAAATGTACAATTTAAAAGGTTTCATGATTTGTCTTGTATTTTTAAATATGGAAATATTTCATGAATGTGTTCTATGTATAAAATTCCTCAGTTTCATTCCATTCTCAGACTTCTTTGCCTTTAATAATGCCAGCGACCTGGAGTACCTTTCTGGCCCTGCTCTTCTCCATCTCCTAATGAACCATAGCTCGGGCAGTGGGTATCTTGATTGGTAGATGCCATTCCCCTGGCCTAAAATGGCAAAGACAGTGTGTGTGAAGCAGTACCCCAAGCTATATCTAATGAAAAGTGTGCTTCTAAGGGCAACTAGGTGGTGCAGTGGATAGAGCACAGGTCCTGGAGTCATGGAGACCTGAGTTCATATCTGGCATTAGACATTAGCTGGGTGACCTTGGGCAAGTTACTTCTATTTACCTGTTTCCTCATATGTAAAATGGGGGTAAATATAATATCAGCCTCACAGAGTTGTTGGGAGAAGTAAATGAGATGATAATTATAAAGCACTAAGTTAAGACACAGTGCCTGGAACATACTAAGCACTTGATAAATATTAATTATTAAGAGCAACTAGTAGTCGTACAGTAGAGTATTGGACTTGGAGTCAGAAAAACCCAAGTTCAAACTCTACTTCAGACACTTACTAGCTATGTGACCACGGGCAAAACACTTAACAATGCCTCAGTTTTCTCATCTGTAAAATGGAGATGATAATAGCTCCTACTTCCCAGAGTTGTTGCAAGGATTAAATGAGATCACATGCAAAAGCATATTTCAAAAATTAAAGTGCTTGCCTTCTCAATGAGGGGGATTTGGGAGGGAAGAAGGGAGAGAATTTGGAACTCAAAGTTTTAAAAATAAGTGTTAAAAATTGTTATTACATGTAACTGGGGAAAAATAAAATGCCAAATAGAATATTTTTTAAAAAGCAATCCAGAAGAAAAGTGATGAAAAAAAAATTAAATTGAATGAAAAAAATTAAAGTACTATGTAAATGTTAGCTATTATTATTAAACCCATAAATATACAGATAAGTTCCTTTGTGCTAATAGAAGTGCATGATGGAAAAAAAGAGAAGTTGCAAGACTAGAGATAAATTAAGACAAAAGAAACTTGGACAATGGTTTTTATATTGTTAGTGGCAAAGAGCATTTTCTTTTAATTTAAAAAAAAACCTGCATGCTCAGGAAGGAGGTAAAAGTACAAGTTTTACAGAATCACATAATTCTAGGAGAGATCTCAGTGACCCATACCCAAAAGGAATCCCCATTATAAGATGCCGGCATAACCATAGAAAAGTCCAATGGCTCCTCCATATGAATGGAAAACATTTAAACATAAGCCATGAAGTTTCACACACACCTCCAAATCCCACCTCTCTCCTCCTCCCATTCTTCTGGACAAACATGCCCAATTCCTTCAGTCCCTTTTATTAAGAAACAAGCTATTTAATTCTTATGTAAGCAAACATTTTCCTTAGTATTAAAGATCTCTGCTGCCTTGATCTCCATATACTGTCATTTAATAACTGACTTCTTGGTTTGGACTAAAGCTCTCTTAATATGTAAAGGTAGAGGCATGGAATCCTTAGTTTGACATAATTGGCCATGTTCTTCTGAAAACTGTACCATTCTTTATTATTTGGCCTGACTAAATAGGTCCTTTGGTGTGTGTGAGACTGAGTTTATTTGGGTCCTAATATCTGATAAACATGCAAAATCACAGTTCAGATCACTGAGAAGCATGAAGTATTTTGTCAGTCATGTCTGACTCTTCATTTAGGATTTTCTTGGCAAAGATACTGGAGTGATTTGCCATTTCCTTCTTGAGCTCATTTTACAGATGAGGAAACTGAGGCAAACAGGGCTATGTGACTTACCCAAGTCACACAGCTGGAGTGTCTGAGACCAGATTTGAACTCCGGAAGATGAGGCTTCCTGACTCTAGGCTTGGCCCTCTATCCACTGTGCCACCTAGCTGCCATGAAAGATTTAAGATGTGCCTTAATTGAAGAGTTATTTATGTAAACACTGGTTTTTAGCAGAGACTTTCCTTTACTGTGAAAAATAGAAACAAATTACTCTGGCCCCTTCCAGCTATTAATTCTAGGGTGAAGAATAAGTGTATTATTAGTGATCTACAGAATAAGTGTATTTTTGTGACCCTCCGACCCCCTCCCCATCCATAATACCAAATCTTCAACCTTGTTAGGGTGAATGTCTCACGGTCTCATGAGAGCTCTGTTGAGGGAACTTTCCCATGGGAGTTCTAGCTTCTATCAGCAGAAGCTGAGGGTCACAACATAGTTGCATGGCAAAAATAAGGAAGTCTCACAAGACCTCTCCTTTGCTGACATGCAGCTCCCACAGTTGGTTTGGCTCTCCTCTCATTGGGAGATGAGTCCTGACATGAGCTCCAGCAGACCTGATGATTGGCTATCACAAGGGGATCATGCTTTGAACATGCATCAGTAGGGCTATAAAAGACAGCTACCTGCACTCAATAAACGGAGCTTCTGCCGCCTTGCTGTCTCCCGCCTCATCCATGTGTCTCTGGGTTACTGAGCACTGAGCTGGTCTCATGCTCTCCACTGCAGCGGCCGCGACAACTGGTGCCCAACGTGGGGCAGATCGATGACAGGCCTGACAGATACCCACGGGCGGAGTCTAAACTCCATGAATAGCGTGTCAGCAAGCTTTGAGCTTTCAGCCCGACGGAATCGGGTCTCCGAGACGTTTCCCATCCTTGGGGGGCGGAGAAGGTAAAGGTTTCGCTTTACATAATGGGGCAAAATATAGGTCTTCTCCTTCCCACAGATGAGGAGAATTATGCCAGAGCTTTATATATGG